GAAGTAAAACAACTGCCAAGAAAGCAGGAACGTTTTGTCAGGTGGGTTTTGTGCGTTATTTTTCTTTTTTAGTTCTACATTTAATGTTCTGCCTTTCTGCAAGCTAGATTTACCTTAAAAGACTTTTAAGGTGTTAAGCATTAACTGCTTCCATGAGGATGTATGCTGGATTGCAATAAAGAGATAATTCATCTCTCTTATCCAAGCTCTACAAAAGAGCTTTAATAAAGCAGCTTAGCTTTACAGCAGTTTGTTAAGCAACAGAGGCTTTATTCATATAACCCCACAAAACTTCGCCACCATCAGCTTCATTAAGTACACTAGGCTGTCAAGATAAGTAACAAACTTTTATTGGAAGTAGAAAACAGACAAAATTTGAAAAGATCCTTGGAAATTATTATTAATTTATTATTGTAAATCTGCCTTAGCTTAGTTTTGAATAAAGTATTCTGCATTCAGTGAGAATTCAGACTTACAGAACAGGGGCTTGTGAGCATCATGGAATCAGAAAACAAAACAAAATAAATCAATTCAGTCACTTAAAAGCCAAGTGCAAGAAACTATTCCTGAATTCCAGAAGTTCACAGAAATCTGATAGTCTTGTTTCAAAAACATCTATCGCTTAGCTTGCAAGTGAATGCAGAAGTGAAGGATAAGATACACCTCAGTAAGCTCCATATAAAGAAATAGGAAGCTATATTTACGAGGTGCTCCAAAGGACAAAACTCTTAGAAGACAGAATAAACATGGCTGGGGTTTTTAGTTTTGTTTTGGTGGTGTGGGTTGTTTTTTTTAACCCAATGAAGTTTCTTGCATTCCTGAAGCTATGAACATTGCTGTTGTTTTGGGATGTGCTTTTTTAGTCCCTTGTTCTCATCTGTCTTACAGTTTTTGATCCAAGTACACTACAATCTCTGCTACTAAGAAAATTTCCACTGCTTTAGTGGCTGCCACTTTATGCTGATACTTCCAGAAGTAAGCGATACTTCAGCAGGCAGTGCTTCTGTGCAAGAAAAACTAAAGGAAACCAAAACAACATCTAGAAATAGTTCTTGAAAAGATTAAAAAGATAGAGAAGTTAAGTACTTCACAGACAAAGTCGAACATGAAAGAACAGTAAGCATTCAGAAGCTGAAAAAGATGAACTCACAAGAAACAGCTCCTCACATGTGCAAATTACACTTGAAAAGGGGGGAGTTTCCTAGGAGGTAAGAGGACAAGGATATCCAAAGATCTCAACTCCATCTTTAAGCCATCAGCAAGAAGAGCTGTGAGCTGTAGAGCAGTATCACAGCTGTTGTTTCATTAAGTAAAATATCCATCCAACACTATTTTCAGTGTTACTACAGAATTAAATCTGTGCACCATAAAACTAAGACTGCAACTCACACATATTTTGGTAATGAAAACTATTCTGAATACATGAAAACTATTTTAATAAACTAAATCCAAATCACTTTTCACTCTTCTAAGTTGGTGACATAATATGTGTATACAAGTGAATAGGTGAATAGAAGTCTTTCCTGGAGCTGGAATTATTTGGTAAAAAGCCTCTGATCGAGATTTAACAATGTAAATCTATGTAAGTCATTCATAACTGGACAGTAACCATTGCAGTTTGATTAATGTATTAGTAGCACTCAGAAGTATTTTTTTTTAATATATGAGCTGCTGAAAAATAAAATACTGCTTCCACTCACCATCAGCAAGCTCCTCTTTCAGCATGTATACAAAATAAAAATCAGCAAAATATTGCAGGAAAACAAGTTTCCTGGTTAAGCCACCGTGAAATTAGAATACATATATACTGAGCTGTAACAGCAGATTTCAACTAACTGACTTTTACAAAGCAAGGGAAAAACCATAGCCCATACAGAAGTGTTTATCAATAACTTATCTACTAGAGACCACACAACTAGATTAATAAATTGCTCAGGTATCACTGAGCTGCCCATTATATTAGCAATCAGTGCAATCAAATTTTTCATGTACAAGATCACCATGAACAAGAATGCTTCAGGAAGAGAAATCCCCACACAGAAAAAACATTTTTATCATCTGTAACTAAACTGAGTAACTGGTAACTGCATTAAACGACTACAAAATGTTTTTCAAAAGTAGTTATACTGAAAAATCAAAGTTTAACAAGAAAAGACACAGACAGTAACTTTAAATGGAAAAGCCCTGCGGCCTTATATGAGAGGTTCCAGTTCTGGTTGTTATTGCACTTACCATTTATGTCCTTCTTTTAGACTGAACAGTAAAAAGGGATAGGAAATAAGTGAAGGAAGCTTAATTTTCAAAGCTTTTAAGAAACAAAAACAAGGATTAGAAACAATTATTATTTTCCTTCTAAATATATGGTTGGCAGAAGACTTTCTTTTAAGGATTATGCCAAAATAATTTATCAAGGCCTGATATGGTAAAAATTATCCACCAGTATAAAAACAAAATGTAATTTTCACCTAGAGGCAACTTTTGAACTCTTAAAAGAGAATTTTTCAGTGTATGTACAATGTAACCTGAGACTAGAAGTAATTAACCAATGGAGTCTGTTCACAGTAAACATGTATTAGTAAGAACACATTAAAAAAAAATAGTTATGTAAGAAATTCTGCTAAATTGAAAAAGTATTTGATGTTTCATTTTGCAGTCTCCAGAAATGGTTTACAATTCTCTGCTGCAAAATGCAAAGCCTTTTTCAATTCCCATTCCCACTATACAAATAATTATAATGAACACCTATAAAATTGATAGGCCATGCTTGGAGTTACACAGCTGCCCTTATTAGAAACAGTTGCTAGAGAAAGTAAATACATAAGTTCCAATTTTGTTTCAATTCTTCCCCTTTGAAACTTCAAAGGACATTAAAAGTAAAATATGAGTCAATACACGACCAGAATACTAAGGACTAGTCTGAGGACTAGAGAAAACTTTTCGTTTGAATCATTGTATATGTCACTTCAACTTCACACGACATTGAAAAGCAACACCTGTACTGTATATTTCCTTATACAACTTACAATTTTTGGTTGGGTTGTCACTGCAGAGCTACATCTATATATTTTTGCAGTGTATTAATTAGTTCCAGATGAACACACTATTCCAGTAATGCAAACTCAGTGGGAAAGCTACATTCTCTCAAAGCATTCTTCCACCTTTACCGTTCCCCCAAAAGAATTTCACCATGTAAGTCGCAAAAACTATACATAGTGTTTGAAGTGCTTTCCATTTGAACCATTCCCCTTCCCTTCTTCAACTACATTTTTGTCATGTCTAGCACATCAAGTTTCTATTCACACAGAGTTCGGCATTTAAAGATTCATATAAGCACAAGGATGGCCAAACTGTGGCAAGCAATTCAAGCACAGAGGCTAAGAAACATTACCTCAAGACAGTTGAAAGAAGAAAACCAGTAGACTGCTGTGGCCAACATTATCTAGTTTTCCCCAGCACCCCAAGCTGCATGATAGAGGCCACAATCTAACAGCAACAGCATCTGAGGGACCCACTGCCCTCTCAAGCCTGTGGATTGTCTCCCTCACTTCCCCTTCCCACAGCTCTCTGTAACAAGTAGCACAGGGTCTCACAGATCAGCCACAGGAGGATTTTCACAGGTAGCTTATAGTGTAACAAAGCCAGGCCACCCAAAAGATGCTATATGAAGGTATTACAGCAAAATTAAATTTCGCATTTGGTACTAGAGAAGTCACAACCACTTCAGTGCTATTTCTAAGTTACATCAGACAATTGTTACATGCTATTTCACCAAGTATGTTTAATAATTATGTGGTAACACACTAAAGGACATAACGAATTTTGATCTTCATCACGCCGAAGACAAGACATGTTGAAAGCAGTTTTCTTTTACAGTGTGAGCACATATGGAAATAAATGATTGTTTTCAGCAAAATCAACTGATAGCTGTTAGTAATATCAAAGGAACAATTTTGCTTCCTTCCCCCCATCTTTACTAAGAACACTAAGGGGCAGAGGATGGGGGGAGGGGGCAGGCAAGAGATGTCCTGCTGAGAACAGGAAATACTTATTTTCTAACTTCTCTTAGGATGTCTCAGAATATAATCTTCCCAACTCTACAGAAAATGTTATGGTATAGAATGCAAAACACAAAATTAGAAAGTAGCTGAGAAACCAGCAGTTTATTTTTGATTTATGTATAAAGCTGTAACTGTGAAGGGGAGTAAAATTCCCTCCTGCAGACTACAATGTTCTCTGTTATAAGAGAACACTGCGTGGATCACTTACTCTTTGCTTCCTCACTAAGAATAGCTGTAACAGTAAAAGGTATTCTTCTCATATGAAACTAAAGCATTCACCATAGAGTGTGTTCATTTAACTGCTTTGGCTGGGGGGGCGAAATACTACCCTTGACCAAAATAGACCATGAAAATTTAGAAGCTGACTCCTGTGACACCACCACTTTGCTAGTTCTGCAAGGTGAGACTTCAGAAGCAGAACACGTCCAAATTACTAATATAAACAATGTAGAAATTATAGCAGAGGGCAATTTTATTTTTTTTTCTCTTCACATTTCTCATCTTTTGGTCTCATTTAGTAAAGATTTTGAGGTTTTCTTTATCTAATTTTAGAGCAGGGTCATAGGGGACAGTTATTTTAGGCTCAATATGAAGTTAACACTGCCCATTTTGTTTCTGAACTACATCATTCATTCCCATGACTTCCCACCTAGAAAAAATACTTATTTTACTGGAAAAATTCTTTTCTCAAATAAAAAAGGCACATTATTATGTGAATCCAAGTGAAGAAGTATTGTATCACCAGTTTGTAGGAAAAATAACAGCTTGTAGGAAAAATAACTATTCTACTAAATTTGTACCACTCTGCTGATGAGAACGATGGAATACTGAAGGAAAAACAGTAAACAAGAAGGTGGCAGCTCAATAGCTAGTGTATAAAAACATGACAATTATAAGAAATTCTTTTAACAATTCAGACTCTTGCCATAGAATTTTACTTACATTGTCCATGAAATTTGGTTTGAATCCTCCGTCCTGCTGTCGTCGTAATTCCTCCTGTTCTCTCTGCCGCAGCATCTCTTCCTCGCGACGTCGATGTTCTTCCTCATGTCTAGAATAGTTTTTAAAAACTATGTCAACTTAGACTCTTGACCTGTTCAGGTTTGTACTCAGGAGATAAGATCAAGCATATACACAAAACTAGACATTTATTCTTTTAAGATAGCATAAGGCACTAATCTACTCCACCGAATGGGTTTGAATATTATTGAAGTGTTTATCTTTTTTAACTGGAATATAGGTAAATACCAGTACATTCTATGCCTGCTGTTCTGGCTATATATTGGATAGCAGGTTAAAATATTCCGGTTTGTAACAAGTCCCTATGGATTAAAACATTTCAGTACCGCCACAAGACGTATTTTTAACTCGAGAGGTATATGCGTTTCGTCTAAACTCAAACAGCATGATGATACTATGTCTATTTTCTTAAATTTTAGCAAAGGCATGAAAACAAGTATTTGTATGAATCAATCTTGAAGGAAAAATTGTTTTCAACATACCAGAATATCAAGTGAAAATACCCCCAAAAAATCTCATTACAGACTTTAAATTTGCAATGCTACTATTCCACATGCCCATAAATCTCAGAAGCATGTTTGTATGTGTTACAGCTATGCTTCAATCACAAGGTTAAAATAAACACTATGAAACAAACAAAAAAAAAAAACAACAACACAAAACCATTTAAGATATTTCTACACTATTTATAAAGCTCAGAAATCTACAACAGAACTAGTAGAGCTGAAATAAACTAAAAACTTCAGAAATACTTGAAACCATTTTTTTGTATTAGTCAAAGCGATCACTTTTCAAGAACATTGGAAGAATCATCATGTACTATGCTTTCAAAAGCAACTTTTTAGCAGTAGAAACACTTTTGACATCAAAAGCAAGCTCTACAAGCTACAGAATCTACATTAATGCAAGCCTACAGCAGCTGCATGCCACACCTCTGCGAAGTAGAAGACAAAATACCTCAATTGTATCTGCTTGCGTTTTTGAAGCTCTTGATTTCGAAGTTCTTCCAAACGCCTTAATTCTTCTTGACGTCGCATGAGATCTAACAGGATTAAAAATGCAATAAAGGTAAAAGCTGCCAATCAACAATGTGGCAAAACACAAAAATCACTATTACTGTCAGATTACAGTTCTAACATTCCATTTCTCAACATGTTTAACTAGCTTCTTCCCATAAAGCTAAGTCTAGTAGTATATGAAAAAAACACACTGGATCCACGGCTCAGAAACACAAAAAGGCACAGGACTGGCAAAGCCTCCAAAGCAGGTTATGGAAACAGAAATCTGAAGCCCTCAAACGAAGAAAAGGAGAAAAAAAACCTTTAAATCTTTTAATCACATCCTGGTTTTACATCTAGGGCAAGGCATCAATTTTCTCACAATGCTGTGTACCTCTAAAGTCACACTAACAAGAAAACTAGTAAATATACATGGGCTTACACTCTCCACTACCTTCTGCAGACCACTGCACGGCATGCATCAGAAAGAAATGATATGAACTTTAGGTACATGTAATCCAAGCTTGCATAGATTTATCACATGACTCTGCTGAGAGCAATTTATAAATGACTAATCTTTTAACACTACCGGAAAGGAACTGCTGCATCTTCTACAAAAACACTTAAAATACATGTAAAAAGCAGTGTGCAACTAAGAGTAATTACTTTTTCCGTACTAGTTTCTGACCAGTCACATTACTGACTTCAGTCTGGAAATCTGTGTTTCATTCAATGAATGTTAATTGTACCTTTTGTTAGAAAGCAGCTGCTTGCCTTTTCTGCCTTCACAGGGTATTTGCCACATGGCATTATTTATAGACACCATGAGAAACATTTGCCTATACCACCTATGATATGCCTTTATACTTTAGTTCAATTACTTGTGCATTTGTCTATGCATCTCTTCACTGTATTAAAGCATCTTTTTATAGCTATGCAAATTGCTTTCCTCAAACTTGCATCAGCATATATTATTACTTTTAGCTTTTTGTGAAGGAGGTGAGGCACTGGAATGGGTTGCCCAAGGAAGCTGTGAATGCTCCATCCCTGGTGGTGTTCAAGGCCAGGTTGGACACAGCCTTGGTGACATGGTCTAAGGTAAGGTGTCCCTGCCCATGGCAGGGGGCTTGGAACTAGATGATCTTAAGGTCCTTTCCAACCCTAACTATTATGTGATTCTATGATTTGAACTTAGCTTTTTACTTTAATACTCAAAACAACTACAATGACCAGTACATTTCATCAAAATGGCATGGATTTGTTTTCTTTTCTACTAAAGAAGATTATCAGATTTTTATTCTCACAACATTCTTATTGACATTAAAAGCCCTTTCTCAACCATATTTTGCAGGCTTGCTTTCCCAATCTCTTCTGCAAAATTAACACATTTCACACTTCAACAGAATATGATTACATTGAAGATTCATTCAAATCACAAAGTCTGAGGGCAGCTTCATTGCAACTGTGCTTGTCATAGAAGGCTTTGCCACTGTTATCCTGACAGGAGTGCCAGAAGCACATGTTTGTTTTGGTGGTGGGGTTTCTTTTGGTGTTGTTGGGTTTGCTTGTTTGTTTTCAAGTAACCTTTAGATTATTTCAGAGTACAAGTGCACTATGTTCTTTTAAAATTAACCTTTAGGTTGTCTCAGGGTATTACTGAGATCAAGAACTGACCCATTCTATTCTCAATACTGTCTCCTGTGGGGAAAAAAATGTTTCTTTTCTGGTTCTTCGTTCTTTCAAATTTACGCAGCTTTCCTTTTTTCTTGGGTTAATACACTGGCACAGGATCTTCTACTTTCTCTCTACCACCAATTGCTACAAATTTGTTATGCTCCTCCTTATTCTTGAGGTATAAAGTCCTACTCTTAGGGGTTTTTTCCCCACAGCACAGTTCTTACTACTTTTCCTGAAAGTATTAGCATTTTAAAGTTCAACACATCAATTTATGATCTGGTACCTTTTGACAATGGCAGAATCTTGGCACAAAGCCTTACTAGTCAGACGAAAATATACATCTATAGGTTTAGGCTGTGCAGAGCGCCGTTCATATTAAAAGATCTGCAACAATGGTAATTCTGGACTGACATGTTGGGACATGGGCCCTTTCTCTGAATAGAAAAAAAACTGTACTAAAGCAGCTAGGAGTGTGTGTGTGTGGGGGGAATCGTTATAATTAGCTTCTGCAATTTCCTGTGCTTCAAACAGGGCCAAGATCTTCATTCTATCCTCAACCTTCTGCACAGCAGACGGCAGAAGGTGAAAGCATACCCTCCCCTCTGAAGTTAATCCTACAAACAAGAATTCCAATCCCAAAATGATTAAGTTGTTTTAGCTGCTGATTTTTCACTTTCTAAAAATGGAAAACAAATGGCCAGCTTTCATAAAACCAATGAAGAATGAAGCATCTGACTAAAATTAGTCATGTTTTCCAATATTTTCATGAACTATTTCACCATTATGAGAGAAAATTTACAAGTCTGAAGTGTACCACTAATATGTAGATCAGAAACATCATGCCAATTTACTTACACATGGAAACAACGTATTCTGCTTTACAAATTACTTCTGACTCAAATCTGTCAAAACGTGACACTTAAAAGTGAAACATTACACATATCAGAAGAATGAAGTATACCTTCAGCATTAATACCACACCATAAAAAAACTGAGTACTTAAGCAAACATGTTCTAGTTCAAGTCCTGCTAACTCTCATAAAGCAACTTCTATAAAGCCCTCACCTGCAGGAGCAGATGGACTGTAGTCAGCTTACCCTTCCCATATTCTTTTTAACTCCTGACAATTAATACATTGCATTTCATATTTCAGAATAACTACTTCAATACACTTTTAAGTGTGGTTTGTGCACCAGGTATACAAAAATAATAATTCTAGGTTCTGACATCTCAAAAGTATCAACTGCATCTTTCTTAAAAACCCTGTGACGCAATCTCATTAATATAATTAATATTCTTGGCATGGTCTGAACTTATACCCATAGACACTGTTCAGACCAGCAAGACTTACAAGAAGCTCATGTCTGAAAATAATACAAGGGGAAAAAAAACCCTTTATTTCCTACACACTGAAACTGGAAAGTTGACAAGATTAAAACAGAAGGAATATTTAGTAACCTCTAGAGCTTGGCAAACCAAACATCTGCAGGTGAATAACCAGAAATCTAGTTATCTGAACAAAATTCCAAGTTATTTAGTACCAAAGAGAAGTACTCTGATTTTAGAAAAAGGAGGAAAAAAAATTCCACATTCTTCCTACACTAACAAAGAGCATGTTTCTTCACTGGAATACTAGCACCTAGAAGTAGTCACACTCTAGTGGCTCTTTAACAGAGGCAGTAATTTTCTTCTTTTTCTGTCTAAAAGTGGAGCTTAACAGATATAAACAAAAAAAAGAAAAAAAAAAAAAAGACAAAAAGTAGTATTTTTTTTCTTCACATTGTTCTTAAAGGAAACCCTAATATCCACAAATCATACCTAAGCTGTTCTCTTGTGTTTTACTATCAAGGCCTTTTCTATCTCAACGAGCAGGCCACTGTCACCTTGTCTCACTGTAAAACATGATGAAGGCATAATTTAAGGAACAGCCATCCCTAATTTGGCTGTCAAGTACAGGCAACAGGTTACAGAGTGTAAGTTCTAGTGTAAGTTAGTATTTGTCACTGTCAGATATTAACAATTAGTTAAGTCAATGGTAAATTTATCCAACCTGTACTCTCTGCACTGAACCATCTTCACCAATATCAAACGTACGATCAAAATTTTAAATGTGTCTAACTGAAAGGGAGGAGCTGCTGTACTATGTACTATAGGCATTGTTGTTAGATCACATTAACATCCACATTCCTCACCTGTAAGACGTAACTATCCTTAACATGCAAACCAAATGCTTAAACATTTTTGCTTGGAAAACAAACCAAGAAGCAACTTGACAGTTGCCATTTCAGGTGCTGCAATAACTGTTTAGCATTTCAAAACAGTTTTCTATTTTACTATGCTCTGTATTTTATCTTTATATAAGATCTTTCTTCCCCACACTAAAATCAAGCATGCCTTTTCAGGAAAACCAGGCTAACTTTTTCCTCATGGCAACTTTAAGTTGCTGTAGATTTAAGAATACTATATAAAAAAGAAATTTATCCTTTTAATTCTTTTCCAGTTATGACAATGTTTTAAAGGACATTTTAAAGGACTGTGTTTACATTCAATATATCCAAGCATTTAGGTGCTTTAATGCCACCAACCTAGTGAATACACTAGTTCAGCTCATTGAGAGATTTTCAACATGACATTCAAGTCAGCAGAAAAAATTAAGATAAACCATTCTCACACAGGGAAGTCATACTACCAACAAAAATGTCATTTCTTAAGAGCAAGCATTAAGTAAAGCCAAATAATTGCAGCAGACAGCTCTTATGAGTTACCTGGGTTTAAGTTTTGAAACGCATCCACTACAAGTTCAAATCCTTTAAAATGGCAACGGACTTTTAGTCAGGCTACCAAACTAATTACTGTCTCATGATCTAACACTCTTAGGGGTAAGATTTCTTTTTTAGGTAGTCACGATCTCCCTTAAATTAAGATTTTAAAAAAAAAAAACAAACCAAAACCACAACAAACAAAACGAAAAAACCCAACCAACCTCCACACCACAAACCTTCAGTGTTTCATTCATGCAACAAACCTTGAGATCCTTCCTGACAGATCTGCAGTGTATTTAAACTCTATCCACTTAAGTCTTGCAATATAGCAATCATAGAGAGGGAACTAAAAATCAAAGTAGTAGTTCAATAGTTCTGAACTGGAAAGCAGTGCTTGCATGTCCACAGCATTTCAGGAAAAATGTGCTTTGGGTAGAAGGTTAACAAGCAGAAAATAGCAGATACTCGCCCTGTTACTCTGCCCAAGAAACACAAGCTTCACGCAGCTCCATTCTTAAAAGCAGGGCTTGAAAGCAATTCCCAGAAAACTTCTCCCCCCTCCAACGCTAGCAGAAGATGCGATGCCCGAACAATTACAAAGAGGGGATACATGAAGTTAAAATTTCAAGAACGACTGAAATTCATGGCAACTGTGAGTTATTTTAAGTTGTTACATACATATAATATTATGCACACATCAGACTTCTCAGCTGGGTCTCAAAGGGAAAAAGAAATAGCATTAGCTACTGGAACATCTGAAATTATACCTGAGGTGCACAGAACAGCCAAGAGAAGTATGAGCTGTCATTTTATTTTTTCCTGCACATAGCCCATAAACAGTACTTGGTCCTATCAAGCAATACCAAAAATGGAAAGTAATTTTACTAACAGGTATGAAACTACCATTCAATTTCTTTAAACTACTTACACTATATAAATCTAAGTGAAGAAAACAGACCTAGACAATTGCCTCTTTCTCAGTTTTCTAACCCACCTCTACAAATCATCAAGGAGTATGTGCAAGGAGATATATAACTTCCTTTTTCTCAGTTCAATGCATTTAATTAAAGAGCATCTGACAAAATATCTAAGTTTAACATACAGTTCAATATACTACACAAAGAAAATATGTGACAAATCAAAATTAATACTAGAGATTATCCAATTTTACCTTGCCTCATCAGCATTAGCTGATGCTCATGTCTAGCTGCTTCCATTTCTGCCTCTAGTTTCTCTTTGGCTTCTCTAATGTTCCTGTCAACCTGTTCACGCTGTTGCTTTTCCATCTCATCAAGAGCCTTCCACCGTGAAGCATACTCAAACTCAAATGTTCCCGGCTGAGCAAAACGTGGAGGCTGTTCTCTTTTCCCAATAAAAATTTTGCAGTTAAAATGTAGAGAAGGACACATTTAGATCAACAGCTGTAACAGCCAAAGAATCTATAAACGATCACTTCAAGTGTAGGTCTGACTTTAAATCAACCTGTCAGATAACTACATTCTAAACCAGTAAAAGCTTAATTCAGCTGGAATTCTCAAATAAAGATCTCTTCAATTTATGTAGTTTTAAGGTAAAAATTTATGTCTACATCAGTACAAAATACTAAGGTGCAATGCTAGATTAACTGTGTTCAGCTTTCTAAAGAAAGCAGTCAATTCATAAAACCAGTTATTTAAATAAAGCTTACTAGGCAGCTTGGAGTTATTAGCCAGAATCTTTAACCATTAAAAGGTGCCAACATTTTAATTCACATTCTAACATTAATATTGCAATAAACAATGACACATTTTTTAAAAGTGGTATTCTACAGCCTCATCAAAATAGGCATTTTACCTTCAAGCAACATCACTTCTAAATGGTAATCAAACTTCAGTATTAAAAATTAGAATTATCAGATGCGGTAGAAGCTAAGTCACCCAATGATCAAGACTCACTTCCTCATGCCATACTCAAAGTTTTATCTGAACTGTGGAAGCTGCCAAGATTTATGCTCCACTGACTTTATGAACAGTTAAGGGGCTATTCAGAGAACATAAAATTCGTGGGTATACAAATCTCTGGACGATAAGACCACACCCCTAATCCATAAAGGACTTCTTGCTTTGCTGACAACAAGCTCTACTTCAGTAAATGCACAGAATATTAAATCAACAAGTCTGAATGATTAGAAAATACTGGCAAAATCCTATTTAATCATTTGACACAGAACAGTACAACATACTTCCTGCTACACAAACTCAATACTAAAAATTAGCGTATGTTTACCAAGGTAACTAAGAACATCAATCACATTTTATAAAATAAAGCTAAACAGAACTTACTTGTGATACTGTTGTGTTTTTTGCATTAGCTTCTCTGGGAGCCCATCTTCATCATCAAATTGCTCCATTGGTTCTACAACAACAGGTCGAGGTGTTCTGGAAGACATTTTCAATTTAATAACTGAATCATAAATGAGGAAGTTAAAGTTACTTTAGTATTTTTAGGAAACAACACTTCAGAAAGCTAATACGTTATCTGCAATACTTGTCTTCCAAATTCTTCTTAAATCATAGAATTTAAATGAATCCTGATTTTAAGAATTATCTTTTAAAAGAATTATTTCTATATCCAAAACCAGCTCTTCTGCCTAGATACCACGATTTACTTGCTGCAGTTCTGTTTGCTATGAAGTTAGATTTTAAAAAAAAATCTCAAAACCACCTACAAACAATTACAAGACATTTAGGAAGGAACCACCTTTTTGTTTTCATCAGTGAAGCAACACACAGGCCATGATCATGTTGGGAAAGCACCAAACAAACCCAAAACAGAGCAACACAACTTATTCTTATTTCCACAGAATATTAAAAACTACATCTCGAAGTTACTCTACAATTGAAAACAGCTCTATAATCTGGCATTAATATTCCTGTGATAATGAGAAAAATCTTTCTGCTTAAGTTACTTAAAACCCATTCTTTGAACAATCATATTCTCACAAATCAGAATTTTAATTTACCTATGAAAATACCTTCCTGGAATTCTATTATCTGTAGCAATCAGAGGCAAGTATTAGCAGTACTGCCAAAGACAACAGCATAAGGATCCTGAACTGTGTAAAAGGACTCTGCATCAGTCTTAGGAGCATAGCCTATAACACACGGTAAGAAAACGGCTAAAAATACTATTTTCAAAATGCCAGTGCTTATTTATTGTGTTCCACACCTTTATTTCACTTCACAGATCTTTTTGCAGAAAAAAAGAATCAATGTATTTTTAGAACATCAACAGCTGAAAAAGAAAACTTTGGGCATAGCATGTAGATTAAAAAGATGAAGCCTGGAATCACAGAATACAAGTCAGCAACTGTTTCTCCTGATGTTATCTGCATGGCAATTGCTGGCAGTTGTTATTTAAATGTAAGTCAACTGTGGTGTTAACAAATTACGATGTAACACAAAAATTTTGAACCTCTAATGTTTCTAATGTCTAGTTTTGATATATTTAGACCATGAATTTAAATATTTTCTTCTGATCAGGCAAAGAGTTTTCAGCTAAAAATGTGAAGTTTTAGACGCTGAAGCAAAACATCAAAGCATCATGGCAGCAGATTCGTACTAATTATCTTTGCAACTGCGCCATCAGGAACACGTTGGCCACCTAAACAAGGGAAACATCAAATGCTTTTTATTCACCCAGGCCACTGTTAGATGGTCATTTCAATCCAAGTAATCTATCCTGCTGGCAAAACAAGAATACCATCCCTCATCTCCTAGCTTCTTTTTCCCTGCCACATCTCTCATGCTAAGAATAGTATTCATGTAACACTGAACTAGATCAGCTCCCTTGTTTGGCTCACCATGCCTCTGTACAAATACTAATGCCAAGAAAACCAAGAGGTTAAGAAAAAATTGCTGGCACCTACTGATAAGAGTAAAGGCATATTCAGATTAAATTTACCACGTAGCCAACGAGTCAGTTCAGTGGCACACAAGATTTATGAGGTTATCATGAGAAAGAGGAGTTCCAGACACTCTCCCCACCTGCGATCTCCTGGCAACATTTTCCCCTGCCATATCCTCTGCTGGACCTAATAGCACTCATGTTAGCAAGCACCTTCATGGACAAAAACGAACCTGACAAAAACAGCTGAATACTTTTCTGTTGTTTTACCAAGCACAAGTGGCTTATGGAAGTATCAAAGAGTTCTCACGTGGGTAAAAGATCAACAGCACAGCCAGGGCAGGAAAGAAAACAACCTACAAGTTCCCCAGTTTGATGGCAGCGAGATTCCATCCTGTGAAACCACAGCTTCATTTTCCCAAATGAGAATGAGATTTCTTTTTTTTTTAATCCACAGTATCTCTCATTTCAGCGTTCAAGAAAGGAGTTGAAAATGCCACAAATGAATGTGTTAAAGCACAGCAGTTAACAACTCTCTCCAACATATACAGAAATAAGAGATGCAAGAAAAGCGCTGTAATTTGCAAGCTTGCTTGCCCTTGAAAGTTTCCCAGAGACCACTGGCGTAAATTTCTGCATAATCTAAGACTTCAATCTAAGTCTTCATTTATAAAAAAAAACCCACCAGTGTACTTCTGCCTCTCAAGTCAGAAATAACAATTCTGAGATAAATGCAGGAACACCTTTAGTTTACACCGATGCGAGTGTGCCGTTTAGCAGCTAGTTACTGAGATCAGGAAGAGTGCAATCAATGAAAATATGTCTCACCAGAAAAAAGCACTACTATACAGAGAATACTGTATATAAAGGAAAAGCAAACCATTTCTATCAGACTGTGATATGGTAATTAAAAGTCTTATAAACAGAAAGCAAAAAAAGATGGTTTCCCTTACACACACACACAAAAAAAACCCCACACAAAACCACACAACAGGAGCATTTGCTATATTCATGTAGAACACCTTCATTTCTCACCTCATGGCTTTCATAATTTAAAATTAAGAACTAAGGAAGAGCCATGAATGCAGTTTTCTTTCACATCAGAAATACATACTCACACAAGTTCAAACAAAAGCCTGTGAACTTACGTTGTTAGCAAGAATGCCCCATCACTGCATCTTTCTAGAGCTTTCCGTGCTGGAGGTTTTGCTGCAAATTCTACGAAACCTTTTCCTGTAGCTCTGCCACGATCATCTACTACAACAACAGCTCTTTCTACTGGCCCAAATTGAGAGAATGCTTGTTCCAGCAGCTCATTAGAAACCACGGGTGAAAGATTCTTGACTGTTAGGGCAGCTCCATGTGTAGCAAATCGAATTCGAAGTGGTCTGCTCTTCAAAATAGTACCATCAAGTTCCGCCTTTGCTATTTCAGCCAGTGTCCTAGATTCCTTTTTCAAGATAGAAAATATTTGATGTATTTTATTTTCAAAGACAACAGACAGCACTTTTTTGTCAGTCCCCTACGCCCAAAAAGTAGTTTTTTTTCCTGAACTAGCATCAAGGTCATTCAACTTCCTCCACTCATCAAGAGAAAGACAAAGTTGCTGTCCACTGACGTAAGGGGGGGACGGACGGGACACAAAAAAAAAAAAGAAAAAGGCATGTCAGCCCTATGATCTAGTCTTTTTTTAAAAAAAAAAAAAAAAAAAAAGCACACACCATACGGACAAATTATTGTAACATTAGAGTATCAGACTTAAATTCTCATTATGGTGGGTACATTTGTGCTTGACGATTTTTCATATAACTATTCAAATGTTGATATTCCCCATCCCTGCCTCCAAATAGTAGGAAACAACATTTTCAAAGAACACACTACAGGATCTAAGGTGTTTTGGTTTTGTTTTTAAATAACAAAAATATCACACTTGCTCATTACCACTGTTAGATGAACTGTCAATGGAAGTCCAATTCGAATTTCACCAATTAAGAAATTACCTTTGCTCACATATCCATTATTCTCACATTTATGGGTTTTCTGCACCCACATCCAAGACACAGTCTGCATCAGTAATTGCCTTTTTGTCATTTCAGAGATTTTTCACGTAGCTTCATACCTGCAATTCCTTACATTTAAATTATTCTTCAGACCATAGCCATTTTCTCCAGAGTTCAACTAAATTGTTTAAAAAATAACATATTCCCTAAACATAACAGAAAAGCTGTATATATAAACGCTGTAACTACCCTATCTTACATACAAAACTGAGTAGTAACATGTAAATATATCACACTTCCTCCATAAAATTGCCGTTTCAGGATGGGGCATTCTCAGGGTAAGAGATGCATGGCAGAACGCCACAAGCACTTGTCTTTCAGATGACGACCAAGAAGAAAAAAAATATCTTACCCAGTAAAATATACAGAAAAATCGTAAGCAGAGACACCCAAAGCGCTCTAAAGCTATTCCTAGAATGATATAAATCAGTGGATTCTAGACATGGCAGACACGAAAACTAATCCTGCACATTAACGTGACAGTTAAATACAGTATCATAAGCTTTTCACGATTCCTTTTTTGCATGCTTAGCTTGAACATAACGATCAAATATTCTATTACCCTCAAAAAATCTTGTCTTATCTGGACACAAGCAATTTAAACAACCCAAGATCCCATTTCTTTGCAGTTCAGAGACTACATGTTCTGATTTCACGATGGGGAGCAATGGTATTTCGAAACAATCCTGTCCAGTCTTTAACAGTGTTTTCATAGACAAAACCTATATCCATAATGAACTGTACAGGCTGAAATTTGCTTCTGCGTGAAGGATTCCCGCCCCCCCCCCCCAGTATGATACATTCTCTCAATTAAATTAGGAGAAGTCTTTATACAGATATTACACGATCAAAGCGTATCGCGCAACCGTATCTTCCATTCACTTAACAAGCACAGGCTGCAGGCGTACCCGTGTAGCAGAACGTAAACGGTAACCAGCGGAGGACCCCTTAAACCAGCCGAGTACCGCGCAGTGAGGTGGGAACCCGAACGCGAGGGGCTGGGAAGGCTGCTCACAACGCAGGCCTCGGGCTTGGATATAAGAAGGCAAATAAAGAAGGAGGAAGAAGGAAGAAGAAGCGAGGGAACAGCGCTAGCAGCAAGGAGAAAGAGAATGAAGGACACTTGCTGACTTTTTTTTTTTTTTTTGTTGCAGTCGCCCGCCAAGGAAAGGCGGGGAGCGGTGGGGGGGTGAGGGGGAACAAGGGGCAGAATTCTCCCGCTTGCAAAGGCAGCCCCTGGGTTACGAGGCAGCCACAGCGGCTCCCGCGGATCATCACCAGGCGAACGACAGCCAAAACAC